GCATCCTCGCTCACAACAGCATCAACCATACAAAAACATCAGTTTCAACTTTGTCATCTACATTCCCATTATTAATTGCATCAATTACATCAACTTTAACAACATAAATATCTTCGGTAACATCAACATTGACAGCAACTATTGCATCAATAGTCACAACTTGAATTGGACATCACTAATGACATCAGCAGTAATATCAACACAAATGTAAAATATTACATAGAACAAAAAAATCAATGAATGACAGTAAATAAGACATCGAGCAGTAAATCATTCTTATCAACAAACACAAACTTCCTTATATTCAGCAGTCATAGCGCTACAGTTCAAAGAAAATAAAAATGTTTTACAAAGCCAGTAACATAAAGCATCATCCAAAAAGACATCCACAACAATGTCCGCAACAACATTTACAACGTCTGAAATAACTTGAACAGCAACTCACAACAACAATCATAACATCAACACTATCAACAACAGCAACATCGTCCACAAAAACATTTGCAACATCAACAACAACATCATCAAAATTGTCAACACATACCGAAAACTGCACATGAGCTCAAAAAATTCCTAAGAAAAAAGACGTCATCCCAGAGCTACAGATTAAAAAAATGCACCCAAATTTATAAAATTTTTCAGAATATACTTCAAGTTTGTCATACCAAAAACTTTGGATGTTTTATATTTTATGATGAATAAACATTGTTGTGAAATCGCATCTTTTGCTATCATAACATTTTAAAACATACAAAAGTTACAACAACAACAGCAGCAACAACAGCAGCAGCAACAACAGCAGCAGCAACAACAGTAGCAGCAGCAGCAACAACAACAGCAACAACAACAGCAAATTTTTTTTACATACAATGCCTGTTGTAACTGGCTTGTTGTTACCACCCGTGTAAAAGACAACGACTACTTTAGACTAAAGTTCGTTTCCGTAGTTTACAGATTAAAGATAACGAAGACGCATTCACTCTAATGTATCAGAGTCGGAATGACAACAAAATTAAATAAATTAAAACAAATTTTTCATATTTATCTAAGAAGTACAAAAATGTACAACAAATTCAATTATAATCTATGAGATATGTAATAAAACCGAAGGAATTATAACTTTTTGTTATATTTCACATCGTTTTCGCCATATTTCATTCATTCGTTCGTTCGTTCGTTCGTTCGTTCGTTCATTCGTTCGTTCGTTCATTCGTTCATTCCTTCATTCATTCATTCATTCATTCATTCATTCATTCATTCATTCATTCATTCATTCATTCATTCATTCATTCATTCATTCATTCATTCATTCATTCATTCATTCATTCATTCATTCATTCATTCATTCATTCATTCATTC